CCCCCCCCATGCCAAGGCCGTGGGGAGTCACTGAGCCTGTCGCTTCTCCTCTATCGGGCAGGTCGGTGAAATCAAGGCCCATGCGGCCGAGTGGAAGGCCAACGTGACGGCCGAGTTCCGGGAGACGCGGCGGCGGCTGAGCGTGGAGATCCACGACAAGCTGCAGCGAGCCGCCACCATCCGCAGCATGGAGCGCCGGCGCCTGGGCTTGGACCAGCGGGCGCACTCGCTGGACATGCTCTCCCCGGAGAAGCGCTCGGTCTTCGCGGCGCTGGACACCGGCCGCTTCAAGGCCTCCTCGCAGGAAAGCATCAACAACAGGCCCAACAACCTGCGCCTGAAGGGCTCCGAGCAGCTGAACAAGCACGGGCAGGGGGCCTCGGAGGACAACATCATCAACAAGTTCGGCTCCACCTCCAGACTCACCAAGAGGAAAAACAAGGACCTCAAAAAGACCTTGCCCGAGGACGTCCAGAAAATCTACAAGACCTTCCGGAATTACTCCCTGGACGAGCAGAAGAAACAGGAGGAGACGGAAAAGATGTGCAACTCTGACCACTCCAGCACCGCCATGTTGACGGACTACGCGCAGCAGCCCGCGGGGACCGAGAACGGCGCGCTCCCCGCCGACACCAAAGACAGGGAACTCGAGAACAACTCGTTACTTGAAGACAGAAACTAAACGTTACGGGCATTGGACTCGACCAAGCCGTTGTGTTTTGTTTTTTGTTTGTTTCTTTTTTAATATATATATATATATATTCACCCCGAGACACGTGCCTTAAACAGACTTCTCCTTAGTCCGAAATTACACAGCATCGAAGAATATATTTCACTGTGCCATAAACGACTGAGAAAGCTCGCTCTGCCACAAGGACTTTCACGTGGCCGAGGAGGGCACCCAGGATGGTGCATCCCTGCGCCCTCGCCTCGGCCTGGCGCGGAGACAAGGGCAGCTTCTCCTAGACCACCAGCCTTCTGGAGGGAACAGGTGTGTCTGAGAGGGAATCTCCTTGTCCTGCACCCACCCGACGTGCTGTGTGCACACACTGAGGGGGGAGAACTGGGTGGGATCTGTATCGGCGCGCGCTGCGCCCGAATTTGGACACAAACTATTCCGTGCAAAGCTAGTCTTTCTCAGCTCCCAACGAATGTCCGAATGTCCGCGGGACCCAGGACCGCCTGGAGTTTGTTGGACACAGATCAGAGCACACGTATTAAAAGGTGCAATCGCTTTCCTCGCGGAAGAAAACAAAAATGTTCACAAACACATCACACTGTGGCGATCACCTTAACCAATGACAGAAGGCTCCTGACTTCTGTCTGTCTGTCTCGCAGAGGTGGGGAACCCAAGTGAACTTGCAAGCATCGGCGAAAAAAAAAATCCCACCTCCACTGCTGCATGGTGACGGGCACATCAAGCGCTTTCTTCAGTGGGTGCGAAGGTGACAATAAACTGGCTGTGAAACGGTCACGTTCACTTTTCTAGTGGAACTTTGGTTACACCTTGTTTTGATAAGAGGGGGAGAAATACCAAAACACTTGCCTTGCATGATGCCGGTGGCTTTCCTGTTCTGTCTAGCGGACCCTCGATTTTGATACGAGACATCTGCACGCCTGAGACATACCAAGGAGGACCGAGGCATCATTCCACCTCAGGGCTTTTTGTCCCTTTGGGTGTCTTAGGGTAGACCTAGTGATGAGACCCCATGTTGCTCCAAACAAAAGGAAATCGGAAACCCAAACCTTGTACCATAAGATTGAATTGTTTTAATTGCTTGCAGCTTAAGTGCCATTAATGCCATTTAAAAAAGTAATCCTTAAAAAAGAAGTATTTTCAAGATTCCCCTTTTACGTTTGGGCATTCCTTTCTACTGAGAGCATTGCTTCCTTTCCTCACTTTTCTTTCTTTCTTTCACACCTGCTGTTCCCGTAAGTTGGGTGTGGCTGGTGGTTTCAAAGCAAACAGAACAGGCGACCACCCTGATCATCCCTCGGAGTTAGCGCACCCAGGGAGGGGGCTGGTGGCCGATCCGCAGGCGTCCAGAGGAAGACCCTGCTGAGTTTTATCACAAAGGGGAAAGTAAGTCCCAGGCCAGTTACCCTGTGTGTGCCCGTCTTTTCCATGACTGGCCTCCCAGGGTGCTGGTTCCAGATTCGCGCTCTGGGCCACACATGTAGGCACGTCAAGCCGGCATTTTCACGATTCACACCTGGATTTAGCCAAAGATCAATGCACCGAGACATTGGGAAAAATTCCTGACCTCTGGGGAAAATTAAACCCACCACAGCCTCGACTCCTGGTACCTCTACCTGCCGACGTCCCCAAAATGCTCAGCAGTTCCTTTCATGAACACAGGCAGTCCTCGGCTATCTGTCCCCAGACTTTAAGGCTCCAGTTTAAGTTCTGGTGTTGCTTTGGGAAGGAGCTGAGGAAGAACCAACTTAGGGCGGCCCTTCCTCTCCAAGGTTTGGGCTCAGTTTCCCCTTGGCCAGGAGCCATACCTTCCTGGTGATGTGCTGTGTCCACACACAGTAATGGACACCCGGGCAGTGATGTGTTTGTGAGTGTGGGCATCAGTGCTTACTCTGGGGACCTCTCAAGCCTGACAACATGGGTTTTAAGAAATGGATAGCTATCTGGGATAGCCTTATTTTCACAAGTTAAAAGCTTCCTGGTCAAACTGTCCTTGGGCCTCATCCATTTTGGGCCCTTCCCCTCTCTTCCCTGGCACCTTCTGTAACAGTCTGTGTTAAGGTTCTGGTCCCTAAGGCCACATCTGGCAAAGAGGCTTCCCTAACATGTGTCCGTTGGCTTCCGTGAGCCTGGCACTTTGTGGGTCGGGCACTTTGTGGGTACCAGCTCTCTGAGCCCTCCCAGCAACCCCGTGCAGGAAGTAAGTATGTGTTCTTGGCACAGATGGAGGCCGTAAGGCTCAGGGAAGCCGAGTAAGAGACTTGCCCCATGGGACACTGCAGGAGTGGGGAGGGGCTGGCCTTCAGCTTTGCCACCATGCCCATCTCGCACTCTCATGCGTGCAAACCTGTGCACACGTGAGCCACTAATCCCGTGGACACAGCACACAGGAGTGGAATGGAGATCCCTACTCCCAAGAGGGCACAGAGTCTTTGTGTCCACACGGAGTGCTGCCGTTGTAGACACTGCGTGTTTTTTGGTTCTGGCTTTGGTTTTAGGAGCCCTCAAGGTGCACCCTCCTTTCCGTATGGTTAGAAATGCCCCTTGAAAGCACTCTTTTGCACTTTACTTGCTTACTTTGCAGGACTCCAAACACAGCAGGAATAAAACAGTCGAAAGCACTAAGGACGCATGCTACAAGATGAGAACACAGGTGCTGTTGTGTGGGCAGTGTTTCCCGCAGGGAGGCCAACCCGTCACTCCGAGGGAGCAAAAACACCCCTTGGCTGAGAGTGGGAAATCTCTAATATATCCCCTTCCCTGAATACAGACGGGGCCCAGGCCCTGCCCAATAAATCAAAGAAATACCCTCAACGGAAATTGATCTATTACATTTGTGGCGAAGTGTTTGACAAATGACAACATGCTCTCTGAAGGAGCAGCTGAGGGGAGCTAGGATACTGGGGTCCTTTTCGTGTGAACACACTGAGGGTTTGGAGGGAGGCCCGCTGTTTTGCGGGATGCTACCTTTGTGAGCTGGAGCCACTCAGCATGCAGAGTAGATGGCTGAGGCAAAGCACAGCCCTGTGCTCCCAACCGGCACGCCCCACCCCACCACAAATCCTGAATGTTCTGATAATGAACGTTCTGATTTTGCACATGGACGATATCTCCATGTGGTATCTTCAAGTGGGTGGTGGCTTTTGCTTTACCTGGTCACTAGGTGTTGAAATTTTCTTGCAGAACAACTCTTGGGGGTTTATTGAGAGAGCCCAGCAGCAATTTGGAGAAACAAGAGCTCAGTGTCCAGGCCTAATTCAGTGACTGTAGGGACTTGACCCTTTGGGGGTAGGGCCTTAATGTTAGTGTGGGTAGGGGTCCCTGTGCTACAGTTAAGGTGGCTGGGACTGCTTGTCTGTGCCCCCCCCCACCTGTGTGCATCCCACATCTGTTACTGCATAGCACAACAGAGGTATGGCCAGGGTCCTCTTCGAGTCCCGCAGTTCTCTGCCCAGACATTCCCAGGTGCACAAGTTCATACAATTTATGAAGAATGTTAGGAGCTGGAGTGGCTGTTATAGACTGACAGGCCCACTCATTGTAGGCCAAGATGAGGGCTTCATCTCCTGCCCTTTGGGAACTTTTCTGGGTGACTGGTGGAACCAGGGGTATTTGGGAGCCTGAGGCTCACTGCTCACTGTCACCTGCTCCGGGGGGGGGCTTCTTCTTTTGTTTTGCATGAATGTGAAGCGTAGTTAAAGGATTTGAAGCTGTGGCTATGTGCAGTTAATGATAGTAAAGGTTCCCTTTGACTACTTCGTGAGTTTGTAAACTATCGCTTGCTCAGATGCCCATGGACAGCCACCTGCAAGCACACACACACACACACACACACAGGCAGCGGCTGCTTTGGGACCCTTCCAGTGGCAAGTTCTGCCTGTGCTAGACACTGACAAACCACGCCCAGATGAGGTCATTTCCTGAGTTGGTGCAGGCCAGCTGTTGGTATGCTTGGTTTGGGAGATTAGTGAGGCTGAGGCCAGAATGGGAATAGGACAGGTGTTTACCCACCGGACTGGGTAAGATTGGAGACCATGGGGTGTGTGCCAGGGTTTCTGAACCACAGGACAGGCGGAGGAGAACTACCGAGCAGAGTCGCTCTCAAAAGACTGGAGGGAGCCCGCAGGCACTACGTGGCCACGCCTCTGCTTTCTGCATGGGGCTCCCGTTTCAAGAGGGTGTGTGTATAGGGGCGTAGGGGTTGGGTGGGAGGTTTATTCCTTCTCACCCTTGGGAAGTAATTGTCGACGTGCACCGACAGGGGCTGCGTGCAGGGGTGCACCCTGAGAGCTAGTCAGCTAATGGCCTTCAAAACCAAAAACGGTTACTCTCCGAAATAATGGGACTAACTTGGCGTTGTGGACGCTGTCAGTTCGGGGTCCCCAAACTTGGGAACAGCAAGCACTATGTAAATAGCGGCTCGCCCTCTGCCCCCGTACCTAGACGACCTCCTTAGCAGGGCGCCACCTGCCCGCCGGCGACCAGGTCAGCCGGGTCCCACCCGCCGCGCGCGCCGGTCACGTGACTTCAGTCTAGCGACGTGGGGAAGAAACGAGCAGTCACTGGTTATACAGAAAGGGATGATCATTTTCACAGGTGCCTAAGAGATTTGCAATCCACTTTCTGTTCTCGGTTCATGAGGTGAAAAATCTCCAATAATTCTCTGTCCGTTAAAAAACAAAAACCAAACCAAACCTGAGGGGCTCTCACTCGCGGGTGCTGCGGGCCTCCGCCCCGAGGAAAACCGCAATGCCCCTTCTTTGCCACCAGGGGGCGAGCTCGAAGGGAGACGGTGCGGTGGGGTCCGGGCGCCGCAGTCAAAGCTCCCAGCCAGCCCCGCTGGCTGTCACCGGGTGGGGTTCCCAGTGAGAAGGTCGCGACAAACCTGTGTGTGGAGTTGTGTCACCTCTTTGTCTCTCTGTGGGATTTCATGGTGCTTTAAAAAAAAAAAGGCATTTTATTGAAAATATCGCGGGGTTGGGGGGAGGAGGGAATTTCATAATGTTCTTAGGAAAAATACGAAAGCAAATTTGCTTGTAACAGTTCAGTAAGCTGTGCTGCTGTTGTCATTATTGGATGATGTATTTTTTCTTTTTCAATGATGGAGAAAATTGCAACAAAGACCTGGAAGATTTAATCAATTGTCTCTCCTGTTTTGTTTTCTTTCGTGGGGACATGTTTGGGTCCGAGGGGCTGGGGACGGGCTCTGCTCAGGCCACAGGTCTCCCGAGGACCATTCTGGACTGGCAGGGCACTCCTCCCGGTGCCCTGGCCTGGCAGAGGCGAGGGGTCACTGTCTGGAAATGCAGGGCGCCCAGCAACCTTAGGAGAGGCGCCTGAACACCCAGCGCTATTGTTTCTCGCTGAATTTCATCCCGTTTTTTACCTTGCGCTGCGCGGCAGGTCACATTTTCTGTGTGAAACACTAAATGTGGGTATCATGACGAGTCTGCCAGTGTGAAGTGAGCAGCGACTTTTGGTGCCAATTGAAACTGTCTGGCTCTGTCCTTTGCGCGTGCCCACCTTGCTCCGCCTCATCATCGAGAATCTGGTCTAAGTGTCAGCAATTTTGCGCACCTGTTAAGCACCAACTACTCTGCCAGGCAGTTTCCCCACCCGCCATTCAGCCTCCCAAGGGAAACAAATGGGGTGTCTTCATTTCGTAAATGAAGACTGAGGAACAGAGAGCCTCCGAAACATCCCAGCCCTGTCAATGGACCCAGGCCAGTGTTCTTTCCATTCCATCGCAGAGGGGGGTCCTCCTGTACTTGTCCAACAAAGGTAAGGAGGTTCTTCCCTGCTTGTCCTTGTGGTTTCTCCCTATCTGTTTGTGAGGGGTGTGCCATGATGCCACAGGTAAATTCCCTCCTGCTGGCCAGGCCAGCAGAGACAAGACTGTCCCCCAGGCTCACCCACCGGAGCTGCCACTCACAGTCCAGGCAGCAGCAGGCCTGACGCATCTTTGGATCATTTTTGGCGGAGCTGGCACAGTGCCTGCGCACGACAGTCTCTCAAAGTGAGCTTTCTGGTTGTGTTGGCCTGTGGGTTTATTCAGCCTCTATCAAACCCTGCAGCAAGCCCCGTCAGCACCTGTGTGCCTTCCTACTGCAGCCTCAGGCAGCCTCTGTTCCCCTCCCCCATTCCAAATTACTTGCAAACTCCACGCTGTCTTCTCCTATCTCCAGGTCTTTGCAAGCGCAAGCCCTTG